CACAATATTTGCATATTGATAATGGCTACAAATCTGCCCTAGCAAAATGCTGAATCATGATACACACTTTTTCCTTTCAAAACCTCTGAGATTTTTTTCTTCAGTGGAGGGGGCAGGGAAGAGCTTTACAACTGCAGTGTTGCTACTTTTCAAACTACATTGCAATGACTTGTTTCCCATGACAAAAAGTTGCCTAATATACTATTACATCTCAAAATGATTTGTTCTCTACCAAAAAAATAGCTTTTCCACATTTGTCAGTTTGACTCCTTAAATTTTTTGGCATAACCCGCAATACAGTCAGTCACTCAAGTCTTAACACTTTCCCCAAAATGACTGCTGAAGCCTGCATCTGTTGGGTGTTCATACAGACTGTAACAGTCAAGGATTCCAAAGTGCATGTTATCAGCTGCTATAAAAGGGCTGTGAAACCTGTCATCCTTTGTGCACCCAATGTGAAACTAAATAACCTTCAGCGAAATACAGCAGTGGCAGCCAGGGTGGCAGGAGCAGAGATTACACCTTCTGATTAGCTCTTTTCACAGAGTATCAGAAATTTAAACTGATACATAGAGATTAAAGACAGATCTTATTTTCATTTTCTGAAGGCAAGATTCTCATACTCTGTGCCAGAAGATGCCTTTGAGATATATATATATATATATATGCACACACAGACACACACACACACACACACATATATATGGAGGCATGAAATAAAAAGACTTGGTAATAACTTTAAACAGAAGGTGGGATTTTAAATGTACAAAGACACGAAATGCAAAGTTACAATTGGTGCAGTAATCACAACTCAGTTTCTCTGGGATCAGTCCCGCAAGGCTCTGTACTGTGGTTACACTGCAATGAGGAAGCGAAACCTGCCAGCCGTGTCCCTCATTTCAGAGGATCTACTCATGCCATTTCATTTAAGCAACCTGCTTAAGCATTTCACTTAATCTAAAGGCGATCACTAAGCACTCTGCAGATCCAAGACCCTTCTGTATAAGGAGAGTGTAAGTCACGTAGGGTTCAGGTCAGAAAAAATTCTCCTTACAAACCACACATGCAGTCATTTGGAACTTTCTGATAGTACCAGATTTAGTGAACACCCTCCAAGTGCTCAATTATTTGAAAAAGATGATTTAGACATTTTGGGGTACAAGAAATGGTTAAAAAAATTAAAATAATATTAACACTTCTTTTCTATTGCTTACATTCTAAGCAGGTTTGAGTAGAAAAATGAAAATATTTTGCATTAAAAATAAGAAGTGGGAATTTAGGAAGGTAAGCTAGTTCTGAAAACAGACTTCAGAAAAATCACTTGCTGCTCACATAAAACCTGTCTGACAGTGTTTTGACACATATCATCAGAGGTGGAGATTTTACATCATTTTGCACAGATTCCAGCTAAAGTAGCTGCATAATAAAGACTCACAGATTGAGAGAAAAATGCCTGCAAGCTGTCTGAAAGATGAGCAGAACAGAAACTGCTCTAAGGCATGATATCATCCTGACAGTCACAGAGATGCACTTTTCATTTCTGCACCTTAGCTGCTGCTGCTAGAGTTCAAAGCTAGGAAGGCCTCCTTCCTGCAGAACTGCCTAGAGAAGAGGGCAATCTTAAGGTGCTAAAGCACCGTTCTCCTCTCTGAGTCTTAGAGCTGCCTGCTGCACTGCACATCACCTGGAAGGTAGTAGGCAATAACCATGCAGTTCCCTTTCATTACCAGGGCAGCAAATATCAAGAAAGAAAATATATGCACTTTCTTAATTTTCTTTTAAAATAAGGTTATATTCAACTGCTTCACACTCTGCACTGCACATACAAACTCTATTGAAAAAGTTTTTCTCCTTCAAATCCTAGTTAATTTCTAAGTATCGAGACAACACAAGAATATAACATTTCCTTGTTCAGTTATTCTAGAATACAAACATAAAACTGTATAAAGATACGCAGTGATTAACGATAACTCATCATGGAAGGCAAATTGGCATCTAGCCCATCTGCTCCTTCAAGACAGAAAAGGCTGTGACAAAACAAAACTCCAGAAAAGCCCCTCTGAGAAAACTTGGATGGAGTTTTTGTATTTTATCTGATTTAATAATAAAACCAAGCCCCAAGAAGAAGCTAAAAATTGGACCATAGTGTATATCTGTGTTGGAAACAGTCCAGGAGTTATGCACTAAAGTCATGCTCAAACCTAGCAAGACTAGTAGCTGAAAACAAAATATTAATCAGGTAGCTGTTGACGAAGTTATTGATACATGCACCCCACATCAAATAGCTTTAAAGCGTGTCCTAAAATTTGCAGACACATTATAATATACTGCAGGACCAGTATTGTAGGACTCATGCTTTTGAAATCACAACTCAGACAGGAGAAGCTAAAGAATACACAGCTGACTTGATTTAAGCCTGGCTGCTGAATATTTAACAGGGTGCCCTTAATGTTCTCCTTACAAAAAAAAAAAACCAAACAAACGTGTACAGATGGTGTGCTCTATGGTAAATCACCAGTTTATCAAAACTAGTAGATGTCTTTTACAGATTTTATGAATCTTCAGCTCAGCTGGTATTGCAACCCAGAAACTCCTGCCTCTGAGCCCACTCTTTCTTTACAGTAATCTTAGTTTCTATATGTCCCATGTGATATTTTAGATAATAATGGCAGTGCTCAATTACACATCTCAGCGTAATAATTTACTATGGAGAGCCCAACAATGAGAAGAGGGTTTTTGTACCAGGTGGAGTACATGTGTCAGTTCAGCCTCTCACAAAGACGTTAAGACCAGAGGCCCTGACCGTATACAAATGTGGCAATCTCCTATTTTTAATCTTGTGAATAAGTTTGTGATACTCAGTTCGGTGGGTCTTTTTTAAGGGTAGGTATGAATGAAAAAAACACACCAAATGGGCGAGAGAGGATAAGGTTAATGGCAAGAAGGTCACTTAACTACAATAAACAGCGAAACTGGACAGTTTTACTGGTTCCAGGTCACTGTATCACACAAAAGTAAATTTACGTATGTGGATATAAACAGACTCCACAGATCTTCAGTCACTCATTATTACTCAAGAATTTCTGAGAGCCTTCCGGGTTAAAGAGCCTTTTGAAGAGGAAAGTACAGTAGGAAAGTGACTTTATGGTGGATCAACAGATTATTTCGGTAGAAGACAAAAAAATGATGCAAGCTTAAGGTAGCAGAATTAAATCAAAGCAGAATGCTTTGCATTAAATGACACAATATAAGCAAATGCAATTAAATTACCTCATAAAAAATATAACAAGTTCTACAGAACCCAAACTGACTCAGCTGATCAATAATCATGTACTGAACACAGCAGTCCATCCAACGTCATCATGCATTTCATTTTGGTCACAGTCTGACCTCCACGCACAACTAAAACAAAAGTCCAAGTGGCTAATAGGAGAAACCTGGATTCCTGGCAGTGGTAGCAGAATGATGGCCATATATACATATATATATATACTTTTTTTTTTTTTTTTTTTTTTTACACGAATAGATCCTACTGTTCTTTTTTTAATTTGTTTGTTTTTTTTTTTTCCAACAGGTCTGCCAGTTAGAACTCAGTCCCATAGCCTGTGCTGAATTTATTAGCAGGGCATACACCCCTTCCCCAGGCAATTACAAGGTGGAAAGTAAATCCAAAATCAGTTATCAAGATTCTATCTTCTCAGATCCAAACACCTGGAAATTAGGAATTACCACATAATGGTGGGGCAGTTATAATTTTATGGTTATGTAAGGAGTGAAAATTACACTGTTTTGTGGTCTGCAACTTGGTATGTTCATTCATTCAGTAGTGCCAAGAGCTTTATTAAACTCAGAGATCAGTGCTAATACTCAAATCCAAATTCTTAAAAACCATAAAGATGGGAAACAAACATATTAAGCCCTCAAGCCCTAATCCTGGGGAGTCCTGAGATATCAGATCTACAATTCACCTTGTCAAGCATGTCCTCACACTTCATAAATCTCTATAGGGAAGTAATCCAAAGTCCAGCGAA